TGGAGATGCAGAAGCATTTGCTGCCCACGAACCAGGCTCTAATGGACAGTGGTGATAAGGTACGTGCTTTGTAAGCTGCTATCTATGTGATTGGTTGCAGAGCATCTTTGCCTTTATATAGTTCAGAGGATTCATGAAAGATACTGAAGAAAAATAGTTACTGGATAGTTTTCTTTAAAGTTTTCTCTAGTTTCTTCACTCGGTGCTTGTAGAGTTTTAATTCCTGTGCAGTTGGCCTGTTGGAAAGAAAACATACCATATTATCTATCTTGCATTGAAAGACAGCTATAAAATTCAGCCAAGCGAAAAAGTAAGAAAGCTCTTGTAGTGCCATAACTTCATTCCGGAAATGAAATTCTACATTTCTGTGTGGCAGTAACTGTAATACAGATATATTATAGCACCTAAACCTATTTTGCTGGTTCAGGCTTTCTTACTAAAACCATCTGCTTCTCTACCCTGTCCAGCAGGTTTTAAGTGGAAATCAGGCTTGGCAGTAATACTGCCAGTGGAAAGAACAATTTTGCCCACATGCATTTTTTACTGCTTTAACTGAATGAAGTGCAAGTATCAATGCAGTTGTCCAACATGATGCAATGTACAGTAATAGCTGTTAGTATCAGCAGCGTAGGGAGGAAAGGTTGATGGCTGCTGCCCTATTAAAATACTAATTATTTTATGAATGGATTTTAAAGACAGATTTCACGCAACATTTTCACAGTTGCTGTTCTTTCAGTTTCCTTATTTGTACAGCAAAGCCTAGCGATGTGCTTTTAAAAACGATATTCATCCTTTCTCACCTTGTTTCCAAATCTTTCTTGAGGTTTGTATTTTCAAGCAAAAGCTGTTCATTCCTGGCTTTTGTTTCAACAAGCTGACTCTGAAAAGACTGCAGCATACATTGTGTTATTTCTTTTATTTCATTCATTCCATAATCAACAAACTTGAACACTTTCAAGCATGTCAGATGTTAAGAAAGATTCCCATTTGCTCTATATAGTAAGACAGCGTAGGTGAGGAAACAGACCTCTTTAAGATCAAGAGCCTGCTGTACTAGCCCACAGGTAGAGAAGCAGAGAACTCAACAAAGTACTAAATCTTTGCATATTGAGATGAAGTTTCTTAAACTCACTGCCCAGTGAGTTTACAAACTTTGAAGATAAGAATAAGCAGACAGAAACCAAACACACATGCATTTTTATGTGGCTCTTCAGGGGTTTCCGTTAGAGATCTGCATGGACTTATTCTTAGCAGTTCCATACCATAAGCAGTGCTCTGTAATTCGGAGTAGCATCTAGATTTAAGAATTCTTCTTTGATTTTTACTTCTCTCTGTATATGATCTTCAGCTTTTTTATACTGCCTATCAGGGAAAATAAATTGCTTCAGCTTATTGCAATTCAATTGCCACAAAGATCCAAGGTTGTTTAGTTTGCAGGTACACGTGACAAAATTTCCATAAATCGAACTATGATCAGAATAGAAACACTGTCATGGTCTTCTCTATTATTCTGGAAAGATGTTTCATATACTAATTGAGTACATTTATTCCTGAAGATAAATTACAGTGCAAGCAAATCCAATTTCAGTTTTCTAGATGATAATCTCAAATTATGGGAATGTCTCTCAGGCATCTGATTGTTGCTCTGCATCATGTAAGCAATGTGGTGGAGCTGAGAAGCTGGCATTCCTTTTTTTTTTTTTTTCCCCCTTCTTTCTTTTAGGAAATCAGTGAATCGAGCATAGCTAATGCAGTAGTGCTGCCTGTAAACCACTACAAAAGGAAAAGTAGAAAAACAAACAAAGGATTATAGCTAATGTCTAAATACAACGCCCTCCTGGCTGCACTGGCCTGACTGAGCAGCTGCTCAGACTGACTGAGAGCTATTTCCAGGATTAATCCAAACTTCCAAGATCATTACAGGCCTTGGCTGTATTTTTTTATATTTTAGTGACATCTAGAAAACAGAACATTTGCCATTCCAAGTTTTAAGAACAGCAAGGAGAAAGAAAACTTTGAGCTGTAGGACCACAAGGCATTAGATGAGACTCACCTTAGCTCCTTTTTCATTTGATTAATTTGAGATTCATAGTAATCAATTAGACAAAGAAACCTGAAAAAGGGAAAATGGTATTTCAAATTTAAGATACTGTTACTGACCTATTGGTATAGGATAGCTTATACAGCTGCACTGTATTTAAAAGTGACCCTTCTCTCTCATCTCAGTCACAGTTTTCCAAAAAAGAAATATAGAGACATTAACTGTCTATTAGATTAAAAGTGGCAAAATGACTCAAGAGGAGACCAAAGCTAAATCCTTCTGACAACCCCCACATCTCGTGGGTATGTTCACCCAGCAAGCTTAACAAGCTGGTACATTCTTGAGCTGTAGGGCTGCAGGGACCATTGGAGGTGATAGAAGAGCACAGGTCAGACACAGCCTAAAGAACTTCCACTTCCAGAGAAGCTGCAGGTGCTTTCTAAGGAAGTGGCTGCAAGGAAATAAAGCCATAGAAAAAATGTATGGGTGAGAAACTGCATTTCCTTTCAAACCACTCTGAGATTTTCTGTTTTCAATATACAGGTGAGAAACGCCAAGGAACCAATCTCAGTGCTTCTTTTTTTGTTGTTTAAGGAGGGCACAAGAAACAGTCACAGGGACACATATAATCCCTCTAAAATTTCTCCTAGGTAAACATCCCAGGCAGACCTGGACAGACCAAGCTACACTAGCACAATAAGGCAACAGCCACCTGAGGCCTGTAAGTTGTCAAATCTCTGACTATAGCTGAAGGATGGAGATTTTCTTGCAGGACATGTAGGCTTAGAATGCTTTCAGAACTTGCACAAAGTGCCTGGAAAGCAAGTTTGCAGTTAGCAGTCACAAATGCTGCTTTCCCAAACTGACTTTGTTGTTACTGCTTTTTGCTTTGTTGTTTAAATTTACATTCTAAAACGTTAACAAAATCACCATAGCAAATGCAGTTTCCAGAACAAACCATTCCACCCTCTTTGCTGACACCTAGTGGATACAGAGGCTGAGATTTTTATCTTCTGCCATGCATTTATTCAGCTTGCACTCCTAAGATCGACAACTTTTTTCCATGTAAGTATCAAGAACAGTCACTTTAAATCCATTTATTCATTTACTGTTACGAGTCATTCACCAATATAACAAAATTTCTTACTGCTGATCTAGAAGGGACTTGGGAGCTCTCTTGCAAAACTGGCAGAACATCTTGGTTTGAGTGGCAACACGCTGCTGCTCCTCCTCCCCAGCTTTGCACAGCTCCCTCTGCAAACGAGCAATAATCTCCTCCTGTTCTTGCAGCTTTTGCTGCTGCTGTTGGTATTTTGCCTGCGAAGAGATAACAGGAGCATTCTGAAATTATTCTAACAAGCTGGAGATGGTGCTCCACCTGCCAACACAGGCACTTGGTCCCAAGGAAGCTTAACCAAAAGCGGAAGAAAGGTTCATATATTTTCCTAATTTATTATTAGAAAATTAGTCATGAAATGTAAAATCTTAGCTAAAAATAGTGTACTAACTTTGACATGAGACTGATGTGTATTTGGACCAACGAGTATACTTCTACAGCTGCCAAAACAAGTCAAAAGCTGAGTGCTGAGTTACCTGGGAAACCAGCTGATCTTTCTGAAGTTCTTTGACCTGATTCTGTTGCCGGCAAACTTTAGCTATTGTCTCATCTTCCAGCTGACGGATTTTTGATTTAATGTTTTCCACCACGTTTTCGAATTCATTAGCCCTTTTCTCTTCTCGAGATGCCCGACCTCGTTCCTGTCGTACCTCATCTCTAGAAACATAAATCTTTGACTTAAATTACACTCATTTCACTAAGTGCAGTGAAAGAAGCACAGGCCTGGCAAATGTTATCTGACGGTGCCCAGTTAACTGATGACATCAGTTATCTGATGTGCCAGACTGCAGCAGCAGGCACAGGAAAGACGCCGCTATGGGAAGTGGCAGCAGATGGAGTTAAGACAACAGCTCAAGCAGATCTTTTATGCAGATATTTATGCAGAATATTGCTGCATATTGGACAAAAAACTCCAGAAAAAAAGGTCTTTGGCCTTAGATATGACAGTAAACAGCGACAGTGCTGTTTGTTTTGCATTACCTGTAAATTCCCTTCACAGCACCTTACCTAAGATTACGATTGCTCTCCATAAGCCCGTACATCATCTTCTGTTGTCGGTCAGTGTCTTCCAACAACGTTTTTAATGCAAGTCTTATTCCTAGAGAGGCCTGACCGTCCAAAGCAATCACATCTGGAAGCACACATCACAAACAAAGCCTTAACCAAAGGCTTTCGGTACCTGAAGATCGCATCTCCGTTACCCTTTGGAACTGATGGCTTCAGCAGTGCCTCGTGACTTCAGGTGTGCTGCCCCGGAACCCCCGCCAGCAGCACTCCTTACCTGGCGCGCCGCCGCCGCCCGGGGACGCCGCGATGCTCAGGGGCTGCATTCCATGGCGCAGCAGCAGCGCGTTCACCGTCTCCCATTCCGCTTCCTCCTGCCGCAGCTGGGAAGAGGCAGAAACCTGAGGATCGCTGAGGATCGGCATGCAAACAGCGCGCAGACGCTCCGCTCGTACCGATGGCCGTTAGAAGGGAGAACGGCTGCCAGCCAGCCGGATTTGTGCTTTCTAAGGAACCGAACGCGGCGGGGCGGGCGCCGGGTGCTTTGCGTCGGCGCCGCTTTGTGTCAGTGCAGCGGTACCTCCGTCATAGCGATCCGCCGGTGGAAAGGAAGAACAGGAAAGGAAGGGAAACGGCCGAAAGGGAGCGGAGGGCGGGCTCTGAGCTCCGTGGCGGTAACGGTCATCTCCGGGAGGCGGGCAACCGCCATCTTGAGGCGGAGGGGAGGAGGGACCCGCGCGGCTGGAACGGGGTAGGCGGGGATGCGGGCGTGGGGGGCTGTGTACGGATGTGAGGGGTTGTGCAGGCGGCGGGGGGGCTGCGGGCGGGTCACGGCGTAATGCCGAAATGAAAGCTGCGTCTGTAAGCTCGCTCCGTGCAGCGCGGTGCGGGATGAGCTCGGGGCCCTGAGCGGATGTCGGAGGCGGTGTGAGTCCCGGTGGCGGTTCTGGCGTTGATGCTGAGGCTGTGTGGTTCCCTCGCAGCTGAAGGGAGCTCTGTGGGCGCGGCGTGGTTGCTGGGCAGCCGCGTCCTTGGTGCTCTTACGCATAGCTATTTGCGTAGGAAAAATGATGTTTGTATTACAGCAGGGCAAATCCATTAGTCATAACTCCATCCATTCTCAGCACTCCTTGCTGCTATCCTGCTTTTCTTCTTTTCTTGCTGCTGGTTGGATTAAAAGCCCTTTGGTTACTATGGCATTCCGTGAGGAGGTTACCCTCAGTGAAGAAGAAGTAAGGTAAAACAGCAGAGCTGCAGCACGTACAGCCTTTGGAAAGATATCCCCACTGCTACGGTCACTTATGGCTGTACCGAACATGGAACGTGTCCTGAATGGAAGGATATCTTTTCCAGTCTCCTTCCCTGTGCGTGTTTGTGTGTGTAGAGTTGTGTTCCCAAATGACGTAGGTAATACTGCTGTTAGAATCAATGGATGGTGAGCTTATCTGTTATAACTACTTCTCAAGTTCAGAAGGCTGAAGCAGTTGCTCAGGGAGCGAATGAAATGCTGCACTTTAAAGCCTGTCAAAAAAGAACTGCAAGGAACATCTGAGTTCTAAGTACGGTTTTTAACTATACTGCCCTCTGACCCAGAGGCTCTAGAGGTTGGATGGGTATGTATCTTTTTATGGTGTTTGTCAGAGTGAGCCAGCATACCTGCCTGTTTTTGTGATGTTTTGTCATATTTTAATGTTTCTAAAGCAGGGACGTGCAAGTAATTGTGTAAGCTTACTCTCTCATGTCTTGTTTTGCAGTTGTAAAAGGTAACTTGCCCTAAAGCAGTAACACTTTGAGCTGTAGTCGTCAGTATTTGAATTCTTTCAATGACAATTAATTGACTTTATTGGTATTTCCATAGGTCTCGGTACGGCCACTTAGAGAAGATGACAGATTTGGTGGCTGTTTGGGAAGTAGCTTTAAGTGATGGTATTCATAAAATTGAATTTGAGCATGGGACCACTTCAGGAAAACGTGTCGTCTATGTTGACGGAAAGGTGAAATTGCTATATGCTCAACATTCACTATAATATAATTATATAAGTGCATTTCCATATAGAACAGACAAAAGACTACTACGTGAGGTGTATTCACTTGGCTAACTTTGCCTCATGTAATGAACAGCATTCCATCAGAAGAGGGCTGGCCAGCAGGGACAAGGAGGTGATTGTCCCTCTCTGCTCTGGTGAGGCCCCATCTGGAGCACTGTGTCCAGGTCTGGAGCCCCCAGTACGAGAAAGACAGAGCTGTTGGAGAGGGTCGAGAGAAGAGCCACAAAGATGATCAGGGGACTGGAGCACCTCCCCTATGAGGACAGGCTGAGGGAGCTGATCTTGTTCAGTCTGGAGAAAAGAAGGCTGCAGGGTGACCTGATTGCAGCCTTTCAGTACCTAAAGGGAGCCTATAAACAGGAGGGGAATCAACTCTTTGAAAGGGTAGATAACAGCAGGACAAGGAGAAATGGTTTTAAGTTGAGGGAGGGGAGATTTAGGTTGGATTTTAGGGGGAAGTTCTTTACAAAGAGAGTGGTGAGGTGCTGGAACAGGCTGCCCAGAGAGGTTGTGGATGCCCCATCCCTAGAGGTGTTCAGGGCCAGACTGGATGGGGCCCTGGGCAGCCTGGTCTGGTATTAAATGGGGAGGTTGGTGGCCCTGCATGTGGCAGGGGGTTGGAGATTCATGATCCTTGAGGTCCCTTCCAACCCTGGCCATTCTGTGATTCTGTGAACATCATTCTTATCTCAGTTACAGTTAAGGTGTGAGTATCATGAAGTGCTTTGCCATCCTTGGGCAGAAGTGTTCTGTATTTGTAAAGCATTGCATGTTTGTACCTTGAGGAAAAAGGACAGTTAAGTACTGAGCTGTTTCCTGAGTTCTGGTGCGCTTTTCAGCAGTACTAAAACACTTCCTCAGGTTTGTCAGTTAATACCTATTGTCTGTGTTTTCTTCTACAGGAAGAAATACGAAAAGAATGGATGTTTAAATTGGTGGGTAAAGAAACATTCACTGTTGGAGCATCCAAAACAAGAGCTACAATTAACATTGATGCAGTCAGTGGCTTTGCATATGAGTATACTTTGGAGATCAATGGAAAAAGCCTCAAGAAATATATGGAGAACAGGTCAAAAACAACCAATACTTGGGTACTGAGCTTGGGTGGTACAGACTATAGAGTTGTTTTGGGTAAGTAAATATGGAATGACTTGACTTTGCTGTTTTCAAAAAAGCCTGTGTGCATTTAGCAATTGGTAATTAAAAGAAAGCACAGTTCAGTGGTGTATGGAAACTGTTCAGTCATGACCTGAATCACTGAGCACCTGTGGAAAGGACCCGGTCAGCCGTGGGAGCACAGGTGAAGGTAATTCAGGCGTGCAACTGAAAGGGGTGGAGCCTGGCTGCACATCTCTTAGACCTCATTTAAGGGCTGACTGGCATGGGGGAAGGATCCCTTTCTGGAGATTCTTCTTGGGTGAAGCTTTTCCCTGTGAACCTAGAGTCTTCTGATACGGGTGAGCAATCTTTTTCCTTTTCTTTATAGCACCTTTCTGTTGTGCTGGTTTTTCTGTCATCATACCTTTGTTGCAGTGCCTTTCCTATTGTACTGATCTGTCCAATTGCTACAAGTGGCTAGTACTATTGCAGTGTAAAACCTTGTGTGGTCTGGAGAACACTGGAAGTAGATTCCAAAGACAGAAAAATGGTAATCTTGTTATATCTATGTAGTTTTATACAGCACTGTTGTTTGTTAACTCAGTAACGGGGATTTCCCTTAGAAACAATAAACCGAAGTTAAGGAGTCGTGAGAAGAAGTGTGTCAGTGTCACTCTTTGTTTTTTTTATAGACTAATCAGCATGCTGTTTTCTGCACTGCTGCTTAACTATGAACTTAATCCATAACCTTCAGATAATGTTTTTATACTGTCTTGGTTGCAAGGTTATACTTTTTTTTCCTTTGCTCCCTTGCCCAAAGTATGTTAGAAGATGGGAGGAAGGATCCACAGAGGAATTTGTCCAGGCATCTAGTGATGAAACTTCCACTTAGGTATTGCTGTATACATGGGCACAAGACACACTGGACTGTGGTTTCTTTTTGAGCCTAAGGATAGTATGAACTGCCCTGAGATAAAGATGCTGGGGGGAAAGAAAGGCAGTTCCAGTGCCAAGAGATAGCCTAGTATCCTTCTTTCCATAATTACTTAAAAGACAAGCAGTACTCTGCTCTCTGTTATGTCACAAGGACATTTTCTGTAATGTTAATTTTAGAGTCGAGTATTTATTTATTCATAGCAAAAATTGTTTGCCCACTGGTGGCAGAGCCTTCTGTCTCTCCAATGTAAGAACAAACTATGTAGCTCAGGTTATTTAGGACCTTCTCCGGGGAATTAAATATAACATCAAAGAGTAGGCTTGTAAAATCCTTATATTGTCCTAGGAGAAGGGAGGAGAGTCCTTTCTACTTTATTTTTTCTTTCATTCACAGAAAAGGACACTATGGACGTGTGGTGCAACGGTAAAAAAATGGAGACAGCGGTACGTGATCATTTCCACAGGTTTTTCATAGACTATGGCTCTAATATAACCAAAGTAAGCCACAGTGCTTATCTGTGTCATGCTCACTAAGCCACAGCAAGGAGTATATTGCTTCACTTGGGTGTGGAGCATGGGTAAACCTCTAGATCTGCATGCTGATGATCTGTTCTTTGCTGTATTTATTAACAGAATCCTTTGTCTCCTGGATTACCTGTTAAGATGCCAAAAGTCTGTCCGTATAAGGATATACAGTGCTATACTTCTTGAACAAATGAATCTTCTGGGTCAGTTGTCCAGGGTTTCTAGTGAGAAAATGCTCAGGAGAGTGGGAGGGACTTAAGTTTGATGTGGACTGTAGAGCCACCTCAACCAGACCTGCTCACCTTAGTGGTAACTGAAAGCTGAACACCTGTGCTCTTTAATGGCTGCTGATTTTTGTCTGTTTAGAGGTGATTCCTAAGCACCTCATGCTTAGTTCATGTTGCTGGAGCGAATAAAATCTTTGTCACATCTGCATTAATATGCATAGCAGATAGACACTTAAAACTCTTAATATATTTGATGTCTTTTCACTTTATGAAGGTTTTCATTATGCCTACTATGTAGGCTTCCCCATGTCTGGAGGGTGCATTTTCTCACCGGAGCTGGCACTATGGTGGATGCATACTCCAAAATGAGAAGTTAGGTAACTGCATCTACAAAGGGGAAAGTTAGGAGCTGTGCATCTAAACTGCATAGCATGTACTCAATTTGGGGATCTGTTCATCCTGCTGCAGAGGGCACCAACAAACTGATGGTGTGAAACGTTGGTTGTCCTTTGAAAACCCAAATTCTTTAACTGGCAGCCTCAGCTCTGCAGCTTTGTTGAGCAGCTGCCTATGGCTGCAGTGATTATGAGAGCTACAAGTGACTGTGACCTGGAAACAGGTGATGCTTTGAGTGGTTATTTTACTGAAAAGGGCATCTGTTTTTATTCTCGTCTCCTTTCTTCTAGGGTGAATTCGTAGAAGATGGGACAGAAACTCACTTCAGTGTTGGTGATCACAGCTGTTACATTAAGGCTGTCAGTAGTGGAAAACGAAAGGAAGGAATTATTCACACTCTTATTGTGGATGACAGAGAGATCCCAGAGGCTGTGGAGTAGCTTCTAGTTAACTGATTGTTTTAGGACTCAGATCAGGTACTTTTAATTACTGTGGTAATTATTTAAATAAGAGGCATTTGGATAATGCCCTCAATAACACACCTCAGCTTTCAGTTAGCCATGCAATGGTCAGGCACTTGGACATACAGATCATTGTAGGTTCCTTCCAGCTGAACTATTCTACTGCATGTAGAACACATGGTACATCCAGTTTGTGCTGGGTTCATTTCCTAGCTTCTGTACATGAAACTCATCTTTTTGAGGACCAGATAAACATAACTATGTACAACACTTTGCATTACCAGTTTTTAAAAAGCTACATAGGGAAATAAGTATTATATCACTAAGTAGAGAGGGCAGGTGAACTTAAGTAGAAATTGTATGCTAGAAAAAAAACCCACAATATTCAATAATACTGAATACTTTATATGGAGGGAGAACACATACTGAGCCCTGGAGAAAGCTGTTAAAATTCTCCCTATTTTTTCTTTTATGTACTTCCAATGTTCTTCAAATGCAGTCAGGAAAACAGTTACATAAATTAATAAAAAAGGTTATTAAAGAAATATATTTTTACCAGTCCTTGTGTAACTGTATTAAAATTTTACTTAGCTATGAAAACTGTTGTTTATTCACAGTAGGAAGAAAGGTGATATGCTGTGCCAAAAATATCCCAAAGGTATTTTGTAAAATGATGTTTGTTCTGAAGTTCTGTACCCTCCCATCCAACCAAACAAGAAGTTTTCTGCCATGGTCCTCCTTTAAAAAATGAAACCTCTTGAGGCAAGCTGAAATAAGAACCTCTTCAATGTAGCCTAGCCTTTAATCTACAGTTGTCTGTAGGTAATTGTGTGTGGCAATTCTGGCAGTCGTGCGTGAATAAGGAAACAAGGAAATGCAGGTCAGAACTGGAGAAGAAGAACTGACTGCTTTAATGGGAAAGTTCAGACAGGAACAGAATATTCTCAAATTCCAGCTGCCTCAGGTGGTTCTTAGAAGCTATGTGTGGGGGAGGCACGAGGCACACTGCCACTTAACATTGCCTTAGGCTCACCTTACAAAAGAGACCTGTTTTGTGACAGTGCAGACATAAATCACTTTTAAAAAATAATGGTTTTATTTAAGAGTATCATTTTGCAGCGGTCCAAAAAACTTTTTCCACTTAAGACTTTTTCCCTCCAGACTTCAGAATTAGACTTTTATAACTTATTTTCTTTGGTGTTTATGACCATTATGAATGCTATTTTAGGGACTGCAAATAAAATACAAATGAGCTTGGAACTCATTAGCAATTTAAAAAAAAAAAATCTTATTTAAACATGGATCACATCTATGTTTTAGGGCTCAGAAGCTCTGTTAGCACAATCTCATGGGCTTTTTTAATAGTTTTGTGCAGGCCCTTCTCCCCAGGTAGAGTTTTAACCATATGTGACTTTTCAGTCTAAAAGCAGACCTGATGTTGACCGACAAGCCCTTATTTCTGCATTACACCACTGTTACAACCAGATGAGGTGTTCAGATGAACCATAAGTAATGGGTTTAAATTCTTTGGATTGTACAACTCACAAAACTGTGGAATGGCAAATCTGCTAATAGCTTTTAGTTTCAGACAGTGGATTTGTTTTAAACTCTCCTAATGCCAGATGTAACTTCAGGCTTTACTGCAGAAAGTTTTAGAATTCCTGAGAGCTGGACTGAATCCTTTTAAATTGAAATTAGAATAATAGCTCTTGGGCATTCACTGCCTTCAAGTTGCTGTGGAAGTAGTGTGGACGTACCTAGCTATGGTAAGGGTGAAATAATCTCTACAACATATCAGTAAGGCACCTTATTGGAGAGCAATTTGGAGTCGTGGTTTGAACTATTTCTCTACCTGTGTGGTAGCCATTCAAAAAGATTGAACAGCACTGGGAAATCTCAACCTCAAATATGGTTCAAGTCCCATCTTTAAATACTATGAGGAAAAATAACAGATATGCTGATAGTGTTATTTGTACTCTTTATTTTGAATATATGAATCTATACTGCTTCAAATCTGTTAACTAATAAAAACTAATAGCAACTACTGTTAGAAATCTTGAAGAACTGCCTCACATTTGTCATAACTTTACTGAACAACAAATCCTGAGGTGGAAAACAGCATTCACTTGATGCTTTCACGCATCACGGTGCATTCCCAAGTGTAAGAATCAAACCAACCTGGATTTCTTGGGTTTCAAAACTATATGCAGTACCTTTAGATTAAGACAGTGTCATGAAAGAAAGAAAATGCAAACCTGTAATAGATAGTCACATGCTTCACATGCTAAGAATACTATAAGACATATAAACAATTTTAAACTAGTTTCTGATGTTTTCCATTCATTTTTAATTCTAGATCACTTTGTCCTAATCTCCTTAATCTTATCAGCTTACTTTTCCTCAAGGCTGTTTCAGAGCTGTCAAGAGGCCCTTAGATCACAGCATGTGAGTAGGCAGAGCACCCTCTTGAAATCTAAGCAGTAGAGTTTGTTCTGAGGGGGGCATCCCAAGAGCCACAGTTCTGACTAATTTCTCTTCAGGTCGCTGCTGGTTTCCTCAGAGGTCTGTGGGACTCTCCTTTACCTGGGAGCAAGTCAGCAAATAACATGGAAGGGCTTGAAGACTGTTGCAAATGACAAAGGTGTCAGGATTGCTTATATCATCTACTAAGCTGTCATAAAACATACTGGCATCTCCTTCCACTGCTGGTGGCATAATGTAAGACTGCTTGCCTTTAGTGTATAACCCTGTTAGTACATCAGCCTCAAACACATAGATTTTAGAGTCTGTTTCCTTCCTGTCATCCTCAATTAGGCTGTTTGGGTTCCTTTTGAAGTAGATGCCAGCTCCGTATCTTTGGTCTGGAAAAGAAACAAAAAAATATTAAGGAAAAAAGTCTTTAACATTTGGTTCTTTTTGGGGTGGTAGCACGGAAAGTTTGCTTCTCATCAGGCTGCTGAATATGTGCATGTGCAGCAAGTAAATAGAGATTTGGACCTTCTTTAAAGACTGCTGCAACAAAGTAAAACTTGGCCGTGGCATTATGTGTATGTTAACAATTTTGCAAACGGTGGTTGGGTTAGAAAGGAATCCAGGTTTATCTTTCCAGAGCCTTGCTGACTGCAGTGTCAGGACAGAAAGCAGTAAGCTCATAAGACTCTTAATGCTGATAAGAAGCAGTTCTTGTGCAGCATAGTCGTTATTTCTGATTTTAATCCAACTTCAGCTGTCAGTCACTGTTTGTTTTGATTAAAGATGTCGAGGCAAATTATATTACCTGTTGGTGGAGAATATATCCTGTGAAATCCAGTTTGGCATACCAAGGTACAGAACTGAGCAGGAACACGCTGGTACAACTTGTGGGAGCCTTTGGAGGTAACTCCTTTTTCTTCTAGATTTTTTTTCACTTGTTGGAATGCAGCAGATAGAAGGGGATTGTGTATTTTTTCAATCTGTAACACAAATAAGCAAGCAGACAATTACCCATGAAATGTGCAAGTGCTCTTGTAGAGGCTATACACTCCAATGTAAGAAACTGATTTGGGTTGTATGCATTGAGCAGCAAGCAGGTAAGGTATCTGAAGCGTGCGGCCAATCCCAAAAAGAACCATGCCACTATCCAACACCTCTCACTGAAGTCAATTGAAAGCAGTGAATATATGTTTTGAGAACTTGCATTAAGTTCAGATATATCAGTTGAGATTTAATTTTGCCATGTATGCCTTATTTACCTTAAGGATGTGAAGCCCAGTCCTTTCAAACTGTTTCTGTCTGTCCTTAAATGCCTGAAGGTGTGAGTCTACCTGTAGCATCTGAAACTGTTTAGTAGAGTTTGTCTTGTCAAGGTGTCCTTCTGAAAGCTGATCCGTGTCTGGTTGGCCTGGAAACAAATAAGGAAGTAAAACAGATATGGTAATAGCTGAAGCAAAGGCAATGTGGAAGGTTCCAATACTCCTTTTGGTAGTTCAGTGAAGAACAAGGAATGTTAAATATTCTTCGAAGTAATGCCAGAGATTAATATTGAGAGGAAACTATGTGTATATTCATAATATTGTTGCTGTGAGTTGCTGAGGGCATAAAGCTAGCAACTGGGCTTTCAAGGGCTTGTGTGGTGAAAGCATGGTATTATCAGCAGTTAACCTAGCGTTCAGTGTATGTGTGAATTGAGTGCATGTCTGTCCACTCTCAGCAATGCACAGGTATAAGCTGCTGCTTAATTTACCTTATTTATGTGCTTATTTACTTAATCACTGGTTGACTTTACACACCCGTTAGTTGCAGCAGTTCCTCTTGTTTGGCTGTAGTATGCTTTTGCATAAAAAGCAGTAATTTTTCAGTTGCGAGCACTGCATCAATCACAGCATCTGGGGGTCCATGAAATTCCAGGCTTGCTTTCCCATCTTTCACTTTTTCTGACACAGACACACTAGAATGTTTCACTCGAGATAGTTCTGCATATTCCTTTGTACCAAGGCTAAAAATGTAGTTGTTTTCAATGACAGCAGAGTGACTTTCCTGGGTTTGTATCAAGCTTTGGATCCATAATTCTGCTGCTTTCAATGTGAAATGTGTCTTCCCCTGAAGTTCAATGGCCAGTTTATTATCTGTAGTCTCTTTTATGCCTTGACTGCTTGACTCTGTACCTGGAACAAAAGAGTGAAGAACTTTCAAGTGCTGTCATCACAAATTCCTATATGTAATCCCAAGTGTGCAGTCAAGAAACATTCTGCTCTTCTGATCTGCTCAAAAAGGTGGTTAGATACCAGAAGATTTCCTTGAAAACAACAAAGCAACACATAGAATTTTGTGGGGTTTTTTTTGCATTCCTTTAAATGAATCTAACAGGTTTGGCTTGGGCTGGTGTTTTTTTTCTTTTTGCTTGAAAGACTTCTAAAGAAGTGACCAGCTTCATTCCTGTCAATGTAAAAATGACAGGTCTCAAGTGATACTGACAAGTAATGCCAAAATTAACAATGACAGCATATCCTTCTGAAATTTTGCTTTGGAACAGTAAGATATCTGGTATATTTTTTTCATAAGCAGGAAGTAATCTGTGCTGTTACACACTTTATTCATACATATCCTATATTATGGTTGAAGTGACTGCATGACTTCTCTGTTCAAACTTTTCCTACAGCAGTTACATCACTTTGGTGACTTCTAATCAAACTTAAAGGAACTTCACTTCTCTGAACTGAAAATTTAGCCATAAGGTGATCCATCACATGCAGTCAACTCCACTGACTGCCATCAAGGTCCTAGCCAAAAGCAGAGCTATAACAGAAACCTAGTGGTAGTAAGCCAAGGGACTTGTGTCTTGGCACTGTATTTCTCACATGCTCACATCTTCTTTGCTTGTGACAGTTAATGCAGTTACTAAGTTATTTGTAAAGGAATGTGATTTCAGATCCTTAGATCTGGTCTGCTTATTCACTTGAAATGCCCCCTCTGTTCATTACTTACTCAAATAATCACTTCTGTTGTTATTCTTTTCCAGTTTGCTTGCTGCTAAATTCATTTTTTCCTGGAAGATCTTGAAAGAGAAAAGTTTAGGAGCAGTTTGCAACCTATTAGTCTCTTCAAAAATCTGTTAGATAAGCAGTTGGCAGTTGTAAGCAATTCTGATGTTACAGCTAATATTTGTCAGCTTTAGCCAGAATTTTATTTCTGACTCTTCAAATGCGCTGTTGCAATTCCAAGTCCCTTAAGGTAACACATGTACACATTAAACAGCACCTTTCCCAATCCCCCACGGCTCTGGTGTCACAATGGAGCTCACAAAGCCACAGCAGATGTAATTACATTATTTGCAGGTTAATGTTAATGAATCTTTACTCAGCTTTAAAACAGAGTGTGCCTCCTTCCTTTGCCCCAACACTCCTCATTATGGAAGTTTGTGAGAAGCCCTTCTCTGATAAGAGACTTTGAACAAAAATATCCCTCAAAGAAATGTGCTGATGAAGAATATGCTTACTCCCTAACTAGCATAGTTAAGAGTAGACTCCTTGCCATAAAACTGCTGGCAGATGTGACAGATTCAGAGCTCTCTCTCCCTGCTATCAGATCACAGGGTGATGACAAGTCAGTGAGGAAAAATATTTGTGAAGAATAATATCTCATGCTGAGAGGCAAGTAGTTTGCTGAGGAAATAGCCACTCACAAGTGTTATAAATAGCATGGAATTCACATTATTTTAGCTTGTAGTCATCTGGAATATTTTTACAGCTATTTTGGGTTCAACTTATCGATAGTTAGCAAGAAATGTATTACTTGATAGGTAGCGTTGTCATCTGGGCAAAGGACGAACTGCACATCTATTTTCTTCTCAGGATATTTCCTGGCAAATTCTAACACCTCTTCAATCATGGTCTCTGCCACCGTAGCCTCAGGCAGCATCAGTGACCAATTCTTTTCTGGAAAGGAAATTGAGGGCGATGGATAATCCCGAACAAAACACAGGCAATTGTTAACTGCCTCCTTCAGTTGCTGCAGGAAAAAGAAGTGGTTTAGTCCTCACATCACTCAATGTTAAAATCTTCAATTAAAATCCAGTCTAACTGATCCTCACCTCACACAGTAGTACCACGTGGTTAAATTGTGGCCATATGACGTGAAGTACAAACTCACAGGGTAGATTATACCCTTTTGTTACTATTATCTCCTTATAATAGCAGAAATGCTTCAGCTGAGACAGAATTTCCTCCTGAAGGGCTGGGCCTGCTTTTTGCAGCATTGGCGTTGAGATCTGAGAGCAAAACTTCCCATCCAAAGACACAGAGCTAACAATAGCTGTAGTCTAGAAGGAAAGAATTCAAAGTTTCAGGAAACTTCAAGTTTACTACTTGTAAGCTTAGAATAAAGGTACCTCTTTAATGTAAAAGTTATGTTATGTTTATTAAAGGAAATGCTCTTCCTGTGATGCAGCTGTCTGTCCAATGCCTCTGTTGGAATACTATGACTAAGCTCACATCTTTTGCATCAAATTTTCTGTCCAGCAAATTAAATGCATCAATTTGAATGTTGCACTGTTTAAAGGTAAGGTGTACATCATCGCCTCTGCAAGTTATTTTCAGCTGACAGCTATAAGAATATAAAATACAGAAGACAAGACAGAATTAACTTCTAGGGAATGCGTGGTAAAATGTGAACTCCTACGATGTTATTAGAAGATTAAACATAATAATATATTATTACTAATCATCCAGTATTTTGCTGCTTACTGTAATCCCGTAGTAGCATGTATGCTAGAAAGAAGCAATGCTATTAGAAACAATTCTAATGCTCAGTACCCATTTTAAATAATAACTGTTTGTGGACAGCACTTTTTTACCCTTTCTAAATTCTCATCAAACTGAGTGGGCCAGTACAATGCGTGTTCTGCCCTTTGAGGTTCCAAAGCCTGCAGAGACTTGGAGGAAGCTCTGTGTTCGTCACGTTGCAGGACAGACTTACCCTTTGCTCTTCAATGTGTCCCTTTATGATACGCAATTGAGTGTTTCCATGTTTGATGACAGGTGCAGGCAGGCTTAGTGAAGCTGGAACAGTCTCCTGCAGCAAGCTGCCTTCACCCAGAAACATCTCACAGGCCCTTTTTATTTCTGCTACCGTACGCTCACAGATGTTCACCAGACGGATCTCCTTGAGGCAGCTTGGTGTGGTCTCAACAAATAGCTTTATAGATATTACAATCACTTGAGCACACAAGTTAAGTGGGAAGCCAAAAACCCCTGAGCTCATTGCTGGGATAGCCACAGACTTGATGTTGTTTTTTGGGTCACTGGCGTACTTCAGAACATTCACAACAGCTTCCTCAAGTAGAACGCAACATTTATCCTTTTCAGATGGGTACCACCTTGGACCAACAGCATGGATAATTTTCTTACACGGAAGTTTCCCTCCACCTGTCACTGCTATTTTGCCGGTTGCGACTTTCCCATATTTTCTAATAAGACTTCTGCTTTCCTCTACTATTTCTGGCCCTCCAGCATTCACAAGAGCTAAAGCAAGACCTCCTAAATGGTCCAGGCTTTCACTGGCTGCATTCACCACAGCGTCGACCTTGTGACTTGTAAGATCACCCTTATAGACTGACAGGTGAATTCCTTGCGTTAATACTTTTCTGTATACTTCAGCAGCACATTTTGTACAGGTCATTGTACAGGCAAACTTTTTGTAAGTGAGATTACGTAGACTGTTCTCTCTTTTCTTAAGAACTTCATAAGTATCTTTATTGATGGGGATCGTCACGCTGCCCTCATCCATTCTTGGCCCTAGGACATAGAATAATATAAAGTCAGATCCAATAAACCACTGACAAAACTTTTTATACATATATGAAAGCATTTTAGAGCTCCACATTTTATTATTGTCATTGCATACTAGTACTTTTTTATAGTATGATCTTTTGTCTCCCTTTTTCAAAGGCTTAGAAAGCACAATCAAGCAAAGAAATCAAAATACACAGATTGAGGACCTTGTTGTATGGGAAGGACTACACTAATAAGGCTATGCTTGCTCCACTTGGGTACCAAGCCCTTTTGTTCGCTATTCCATCCATGTCACCACTCCATCTGGTAGCTCCACCTTTCCTCTCAAGATTCTGCACAAGTGAAAAAGCTTTTATATGTGGTCTAAATATCCTCTCCTTTAGTTTGAAGCCCTTTTCCTTTATCCTATCACCACAAACCCTGCTAAAGACTCTGTGCCTTCCTTCTTACAGCCCCCTTTTAGTTACTGAAAGGCCGCTCTCAGCTCTCCCTGTAGCCTTCTCTTCTCCAGGCTGAACAGCCCCAGCTCCTGTCCTCATAGTGAGGTGTTCCATCCCTGGGATCATTTCTGTGGCCCTCCTCTGGATGCGCTCCAACAGCTCCATGTACCTTCTGTACTGAGGACTCTGTTTCTGGACGCAGTGCTCCAGGTGAGCTCTCACAGCACAGAGCAGAGGGGCAGGATCCCCTCCCTCGTCCTGCTGGCCGCACTGCTTTTAATGCAACCCAGGACACAGTAGGCTTTCTGGGCCACGAGGGCACACTGCTGGCTCATGTCCAGCTGCCATCCACCACTACATCCAGGTCCTTTTCAGCAGGGCTGCGCTCTGTCCTTTCGTTCCCCAGCTGATACTGGCCCTTAGCTCTGTTGAACCTCATGCAGTTCTCCTGGGCCCACTGCTCCAACCTGTCTAGGACTCTCCATACTGCTTTCAGCTGTTCCATGACATCGCTTTCCAGTTGCAATTTTCAGTGAAACACGGCTGCCAGATGGCAAAGGGAGAGGCTTACCTGGACCGCGCTTGTCTTCCGGGCTCTCTGACTGTTGGCTCTGTCAGAAAAACAGCACAGAGAAAATACGTTACCGTACACGGCACCGCAGCCGAGCGGTGGGCACGCGGAGCCGGGCAGTTGCAACTCCCCAGGACAGCGGCGCTGCTCCGCAGCCCGAAGCCCACGCGTTCCTTGGGGCGCGGGGCAACGCGGAGCCGGGCCGCGGAGAGAGAACCGCCTCTCAGCCGCAGGTGAAGCTCCTCAGGCTGCACCACCCTCAGGCGGAAGCGGCCTCGGACGGCCGTTCTGCAGCCCGGCCCGGCCCGGCCGTGCCCCTTCTGCGCCCAGCGGCGACGCCCGCCGCCCGCCCGCCGCCCCGCACCCGGCTCGGCCCTCACCGGCCGCGGGCCGCTCGGCTCCCCGGGCCGCTCTCCTACCTGGTAGATGCCCATTACCTCAGCGTCGCCGCCGCCGCTCTCCGGAGGAAAGGGGGCCGGGGCGGGGAACCGAGGGAACCGAAAGCGAAAGCGGGCGCCGGTCGGTCGGCACCATGGCGGTACCGCTGCTGGTGCGGCTCTGCCCCGCGCCCGACGGCGGAGAGAAGGCGATGCTGAAGCTGCAGAGCTACTTCCAGTCCCCCAAGCGCTCGGGGGGCGGCGAGTGCGAGGTGCGGGCCGGCCCCGAACCCGGCACCTACCGGGTGTACTTCCAGCACGAGCGAGGTACGGCCGGGCGGGGGGTGCGGCATGGCCGCCGAGAGGCACCATCTTGTGGGTGGGCGAAAGGTCCCCGCCGCCCTTCTCACGAGGCTTTATCGCACCTCCAACGCCCGCAGATAAGAAGAGAGTGGAGTCCCGCGCGGATCACGTCTTGGAGCTGGGGGGCAAAGTGCTGAAGGTCATCCTGCAGCCCTTGGAAGGGGCTCGGAGCAAGAGCCCCGCCGTGGTGCAGGCAGACCGCGGCCAAGCCCAGCACCTCTCCCCGCCGGGATCTGCGGAGCTGCGAGCGGCTCAGGGACACCGGGATGGAGCAGCAGAAGTGCTGACCAAAAAGGTACATCGGGGAGAGCCGTGCGGAGCAGCACCGCTGTGCCGTCGGTGTCCTGCACGGCCGGGAGGGAACGCCGAGTGCTTTATCGTGCTGCTCTCCATCACGGTTCAGTGTGTCGGCGCACAGCTCACCTGTGGTGGCTTTGTCAATACTGCGGGGAGCGACTTCGGAGTGCTCTGCCACAGCCCATCTGCACGTCAACACAAAGCGCGTTCCCTAGCATGGTTTTGGCATTGTCAGGTTTGGCACAGCAAAGACTGCTCCCAGTGGTGAGACCTCTAAAACTATGGCAGAGTACCTCAGTCTTACAAAAAGCCTGCTCTCACAGACAACAAATGGCCTTTCAGACCCTTTGAACTAAAAGTCATGCAGAAGAGATCGGCTGTGTCCCGGGGTAAGCCATAGAGCTGTGCTCTGTGCTGTGTGAGGCTGCCGTGGTACTGCCAAGACAGATATCTGGCCCACAGAGCTTGTCCTGCTCTGCATAGTAGCACAGATGAAGCTTTTGGAGCGTGGTGTGTAGAACATATCATAACTACTTACATGTACATCATTTTTGTATACCTGACATAAAAGAAACACTATACAAGTTTGTCAGTACTAATGTGGCCCCATGCAAAGTTGCATCAAGCTTTTCCTTACTCAGAACTTAGAAGTACCAAGCTGAGAACCTTAGGAAATGTGTGTGTGTATATATATATGTATATATATATATTGATATCTTCTTGTCTTCTCTTCAGATTTTTCTTACAGTGTCTGCAGTGTTGAATGCCAGTATGTTCACTGAACAGCAAAGGGAGAGAATTGCTATTATTTGTCCAAACTTAAGAAGAGAAGGAAATCCTGACGTTGATGGCTCTGAGAAACTGACAGGAGATTATACAGATATCGAAAAAGCTTATTGTTACTTTAAAGGCGTCCTTGCAGGCAACGACCAACACTATGATTTCCTGCATTCTGAAAGTAAGAAAGGTTTGGAAGATGAGAATGGTCTGAATACCGAAGAAATGAATACGCTTACAGTTCCATCAGCTATCTATGAATATTTCTGTCATACATGCAAAGAACAGATTAAAGAAATGCATAAACGTTTTGGAGTGTGGGTAAAAAGTAAGGATTGTTACAATGGGAACACATCAATATCCTTCCTTTCTGATACAAGTCCCACGTCAATACAAAGAGCTATTGATTTTTTTACCAGCGCTTTTCAGAAGGTTGCCAAAGATGTGGCACAGGAAGACATTCCCATAGCAAACATTCACCAGTTAGATGAGACAATAATGAAATTAAATGCTAAATTTACTAATCTTCTCATCAAACAGAAAGATAATCAGTTGCTCCTCCGTGGTCCAAGAAATGAGATTTTAGCTGCCAAAATATTTCTAGCAGAGGAAAAGGGGAACAGCCAAGATGAAAAGGATACCAAAATACCTGAACTGAGCGCCAACAGGAATAGAATTGAAGTTGATGCTTCTGTGTTTAAGCTGTTGGCACCTGTGTTGAGAAAAGAAATTGAAGACATTGAAAAAAGCTTTGATGTTGTAATAGAAAAGACAGACAGCTCAGGTGGCCAGAAGGTGCTCTTAGTATTTAAACCTAGGAACAAAACTTCTGATATGCTTTTACATTCTATTGAAAGTTTCATCAATGGATTTCAGAATGCCTTTGCAATGCTAAGAGAAAAACTTATCAGCTGGAAGCTTTCAGAACAGCAGAAAAGGAAATTAAATATGCTTCTGGATGAAAAGAAGTTGGAAAGCCTATATGTAAAGCTAAAGAAGAAGGAAGACAAATTAATTTTATATGGTTTACCAAACCATGTTCATGCTGCTGAAAAGCACATTATGTACCTTCTCAATGCTGAAGAGCCTTCAGAAACTAAAAAAAGGACACCACTGCCCTCTGATCTCAACAACCAAGAAGCTTCAGGAGTGTGGGAGAAATACGGTGCCAGGGAAAAGAATAGTTATTCTTCCATGGAACAGGCTAAGGCAAAGACAGAAGACACCGATGATACGTGCCCTATTTGCATGGAGAAAATTAATGATAAAGAGATCCTGACAAAATGCAAACATGCGTTTTGCAAAAGTTGCATCAAAATGGCTTTGGAATACAAGCAAACTTGTCCTGTTTGTAATACTGTCTATGGAGTCATGCAAGGAGATCAACCAGAGGGAAGAATGCAGTATAAAAGGATTTCTACACCTCTCCCTGGCTATCCCAGTTGTGGTACTATCGAGATTGAATATGTTATGCAGAGCGGTATTCAAACTGTAAGTATATTTGAAGATTCATGAAGTATACTTTCCCCCAGCAAAACCAGTGCTGAATGCAAAATTCAGTGTTTTCCATCATATCTGAGCTGGAGAGACATTACTGTCTTCCGTACAAGTCTGCAAGTATGTAGTTCTGTAATTTTGAGTGCAATGAAGTCATGTTGATCGCACTGGTAGCCCTCCATTTTGTATGTGGCAGGAATGAGATACGTGTCTGAAAACTGTATATTCAGAATAACTGCACTGAAATCTATGGAGCAGTATCACGTAAGTCACGTTGTGTCCTGAATGCATCAAAGATGGAGATAGAAAGTGCTATAAAAGCTGGGATTGCAATTTCCACACTTGCAGAGAATTTGTGATATACAAAGTGTTTTTCTTTTGTTTTTCTACAAAACAGCAGAACCATCCAAACCCAGGGAAACCTTATTATGGAATTATTCGGAAGGCATATTTGCCTGACAATGAGGAAGGGGTGAAAGTTCTGCAGCTCCTCAGAAGAGCCTTTAACCAAAAACTGATTTTCACAGTGGGGAATTCACGTACTACTGGTGCAGAAGATGTTATCACATGGAATGATATTCACCACAAAACCTCCATGTACGGTGGACCTGTGAAGTAAGTAGTCTTCTTGTTCAGTTATTATAGAACTTGTCAGTGGTAGCAGGAAGGCTTCCCTGTGTATTTTCTCCACTATACCTTTCAGATTGCCAATGGCCCTGCAAGCCACTAGCAAATCTTATCAGTTGTGGATTATTACATACGCAGTGATTGTGGAAGTACTGTGGATCCAGACTTGGACCATTTTCATAGCCTTTATAATGCTTTGTCAATGATTTACAGCTCGCTTCTGTGACTAATTGGGGTGGGGGACCCACAGACCCACACCCCAGGAGAAGGGGAAAGGGAAGAAGGGCAAAAGGTATGAAGATGGGCCTGAAAACAAAACAGTGGCAACAAGCTAAGGGAAAAAACTAATTGACTGAATATGATAGCAGAATGCAAGATAACACAATAATACAATATAATTGGAATTGAGGTTAATAAATCAAAGAAAATGAGAGAGTGTCCAAAACCGAAGGCCTTACCATAATGCTGAAGGCAAGGTGGCTCAGGGAGCACACACTGCAGAGAAGAGCAGTAAGAGACGTCCTGTGACTTGTGAGCAGTTTTACCTTTCCCTCTAAATGGAGAAAGGAACAGTGAAAGTCTTCTGGGAGATGTAGTTCTTCTCTTCTGAGAACCAAGTGCCCAGAAGTACCAACAGTCGATGCAACTGGAGCATTAACTCTTTAACTCCCAGTGCTCTACGTGATGTTACAGTATGGAATACTGATAACAAAAAATCATAAAACCATGATGTGCTTCTGGTTTAGTTTAATTCTGTTGCTTATAAAAACAGGCACTGGAGCACAGCTATCTGTTGAACCTGGCGGTGGTGAGAAAGCACAGGAACAAATAATCTCTGGAAGGAAAATAGATAGAACAGTCTTATGTCCCTCAAGCATGTCTCAGAAAGAACCATTCCTTGATGGTACTTTTCTGCCTTTAAATCTTTCTGTCTTAACCATTTCCATGGAGAGAAATATTGACAGTGTATGATCTGGTGCTTTTTTTGTGCACAACAGTGAACACTTTGGTAAAATATTGGTTCATTTTGTAGTAACACACAAACCTGCGTGTCAAAACTGGGCTTGTTTTAGTACTGAGAGCATAAATATGTCGCTTTCACATCTCAGGCTCCAGCCTGGAGATGAAAGGGAGGCTTGGAACAGTCTCTTCAGGGTTGTTACAGCCTCTCAGAGCCAGGTGTCTTCCTGCAAGACCTAAAGGTTTGTGCTTGGAGTTACGTTCTCCCTCCTGGGTGAGGATCATTAAAGAACAATAAGTTTTGCTTTATCCCCCACTCTGCTCATTGCTCTCTTCCTTCTTATCACCTGCTTCATACACACCTTTGCTGATAAGCCACCTGAAAAGCAGAGGTGTCATTATGTTTGCCTTTTGAAGTCTCACACGGAGACCCCTTCTGTTAAAACCTGTTCTTAAGAAAAGTGCATACCCAAATGCCCAGTCATTTGCTAGTGAGACAGCTGGCAGCGTAGAAAGTGAGGCTCCTAGGGTCAGCTTGGGCGGCCAAATTCAGCAGCTGTTTTGTTTTTAGTAAGCTTTTAGCTTTACTCTTTCTTGTACCATTTATCTCACCTGTAACACGGAGTCTGTCTTCTCTATAGCGAGAAGCACATGCCTAAAACTTGTGAATTATTTTAAGGCATTCTGATGAGCAAGTTTTGTAGAACTGCCGTGTGCCCCACTGTACAGGTATCCCAAATTATTCTTTTCTTCTTCTAGTTTTGGTTACCCTGACCCTGATTATCTGAAGAGGGTTCGATCAGAACTGAAAGCAAGAGGAATTGAGTAAGGAAATGTACCAGCTGTCAACTCTGAAGTGTGATGATTCAACATGCAGCAGTTCTTTTACTGTTCTGGCACTACAAAGAGAGAAGTCGGTCTGTTCAACTGCTATACTTCAGTTACTTGTATTTCCCTGTGAGCTAAGAAAAGTTATCTTTTCTGGTCAAACTATGTTTGTTCCCTTTGTACGACTTGCTTCTGTGAACAACACTTCCCTATATGTACTTCCTCCCTTAGAGAATTCGGGACCTGTGAGTCCAGCATCTGTACTTGCACTCATCAGACAGCAGGTTGTGTGT